CCCTCTGTATCTTTTTCTCTCCCTGTCTGCCCCTTCTCTCTCCCTACCCGCTCTCTCCCTTTCTCTCGTTCTGTCCGTCTCTCTCCCTCTATCTCCTCCCGCCTCCCCTCTCTCTCTCCCTCTCTCTCCTCCCCCCCCCCCCCCCGCCCTCTCTTTCTATCCTTTAAAACAATGTATCGCATATTGCTCTTTGTATCGTCATTTTGATTTACCCAAGCTAACTAATGTTATCTTCAAAATAATATCGATGCCTTTCCTTCACGTAATAATACGTCTGCAACTGTCGTCACGCGATCAATCTCCAGTGTGATTCACCACATAAGCATGGCTAAGATTAATTACAGTATTAAGCCTCTATTAAGCCCTAGTTACGAGCACACAGATATGTCATTTATCATTCATATTATTTCTCAAAGTATCGGCTCAATTAAATGTTCATGCAGTTATTCAAATATTCAGTTTCATACCTAGGAGCGACACGTTGGGGGTAATGACGGATTATGCTAAAACTAAAAATATATTTCTATACAATGGCTCAACTTTAACTTAAATTCCCAACTTGGGTATTGAACACTTTTCATAACATAGTGTGTGAGAGAGTATGGTTTACGCCCTTTAAGCAATGTTCCAGCAACTTCACAGCGGGTTTTTGGCTTGACGAGCGGACGTTTTGACCACTAGGCGACCCTTTCAAAACATAGTACCCCTGGAATTCCCCTGGCTTTCAGCAGCTACATATATACATGCTGTACCTCCTCAATATACCACCCTCGCTATACCACAGCAACCGTATATGATATATAACCACGCCCAGGTTTTACGTTTGGAATTTATCGGCCGACCTAATTACTTCGCTACCACCATACACTGCTATCGACAGAATGGACACCGTTATTAATTTTGATGAAATTATAGAAACCTCTGTCAAGGTGCATGTATTTATAACTCGCAAACCCAATCAGCCTGCCCCAGAATTGATATTGGTCAAGGGGAACAAATACTGAGTGAGTGAGTATGGTTTTACGCCGCTGTTAGCGATATTCCAGCAATATCACGGCGGGGGACACCAGAGTGAGTGAGTGAGTATGGTTTTACGCCGTTTTTAGCAATATTCCAGCAATATCACGGCGGGGGACACCAGAAATTGGCTTCACACATTGTACCCATGTCGGGAATCGAACCCGGGTCTTCGGCGTGACGAGCGAACGCTTTAATCACTAGGCTACCCGACCGCCCCGGAACGCATACTGAACACTTGCATATCCATCGGGCTCACAGTCCCGAAAATAGAAATGCTCCCAAACGTGCTTTATTCAGAAGTGTTTGTTTGTTTGTTTGTTTGTTTGTTGTTTAAGGCCGCTCTCAGCAATATCCCAGCTATATGGCGGCGGTCTGTAAATAATCGAGTCTGGACCAGACAATCCAGTGATTGACATCATGATCATCGTTCCACGCAATTGGGATACAATGACATGCATCAACCAAGTCAGCGAGCCTGCAAACCCGATCCCGTTAGTCGTTTCTTACGACAAGCATAGTCGCATTTTACGGCAAGCATGGGTTGCTGAAGACCTAGTCTACCCCGGATCTTCACGGATATGTTCAGTGAGGTTGAAGTCAGATCATCATTTGACATTCTGAGTGTTCTTTTCACCAGAATAAAAATGACAGTTATATGTAATATACAATCTACAATTTCAATTAATTATGTTTGATACAAGCTTCTACTGGGTTCCCCAGGGCCAATGGGAATTCAGGGTAGGAATATAGGTTCCACGAAGCCAATGCTGCCGTAGGAGGCGACAAACAAGATCGGGTGGTCAGGCCCGCTGACTTGGTTGATGCATGCCACCGTATCTCAGTTGCGTTGTCTTGCCGATGGTCAGGCTGACTGCGTGTCCTCGTATGTCAATTGCGTGGATCGATGCTCATTATGTCAATCACTGGATTGTCTGGTCGGTCCAGACTCGATTATTTTCACACCGCCGTCATATACAGCAGCGTTAAACAACATACAACCGGGCTTCGCAATGTTAATGAGATGCGTCCATTCACAATGTGTAGTAAAACCTTGTTGTGTCGAATTTCCGGCTGTCTCGAGCTCACCTTCAAGTCCCTACGGGACCGCCTCCGTGGTCTAGTGGTAGAGCGTCCGCCCGGAGAACGGAAGGTCCAGGGTTCGATCCCCGGCCGCGTCATACCAAAAGACGTTAAAAGATGGTACTTGTTGTTACCCTGTCTGGCGCTCGGCATTAAGGGGCTAAAACAAGGACTGGTCGGCTCGGAGTCAGTATACTGTGTCTGAGGGGGATATTCATGTTTAACTGCGGCATGGCGTCTCAGTGAGCTAGCACTATGAATCGGCATCAGTCCGGACTAGTACAAGCAGCCACACACACGTGCATGCACGTAGCTATATAAGTGCATTAATCTTGGACGCGACGTTAAACCCCATTTCACCTCACCTCAAGTCCCTACGATTTCCTTTTATATTTATCATCATTTCCATTGTAGCTGCCTGTATGCATAGAACACCTGCCTGCATATGTATGTGGGCCAATCCAT